GAATAATGGAATATAATATGTACATGAGAGTTCTCCAATATGTATTCTGCTGTTATGTTTTTGTAACAGTCGAAAATTGGTGGAAAATCACGTTCAAATTGACTTCCAAAAGAGTTCTAATCGGATAAGGAAAGTTGCATTCGCGCGCAGATTTTTTGTCTATGCACAGTGGTCAGTATTTTGGCCATAAATTTTTCGTCTGATATCTGGTTGAAGCGATTCAAAGTACGTTGGAAAGATAACTTAAAGTGCTACAACTTTGATAGAGATATAAATTTCTCATTTCAGACTTTTACTATACCAAAAATGGGTCTCAACTTTCGACTAAAAATCTGGAATATCACTTGTGCGATTGGACATTGATTGTGATAATATTCCATTCTTTTTTGAGTTCTAATTCCACCCAATTGTCTCCTAGAAATCTTCAAAGTATCATCTTGTGGTCCAAATCAACTATTGAATTTGCAATTTGATTCTCAAACTTTGGATTTTATCATTTTTCACCATTTTTCGCTTCTTTATTTCCATTCCTCGTCCAACCATTGAATTTACCTATATAACTTAAAATACAACAATTTATGATATATTTTGTGAAAAGAACTATCAAATATTGTTATTTTGGACCCCGAATAAGTGTATAAAATACACTTATCACAAGAGACTCTTTAAATTAACATTTTAATTTAAAGAGTGAGTTTGACTCTCCAAATTTGAAGAGTCAAACTCACTCTCTATAATTAAATGCATTCAAAATGTTTCAATTTTCAATGTAGGAAAACAATAAAATAATCTAAAGAAAAACTAGTTAAAATAAAAGATAATTTTTTGGGAGTAATAAAATTTAGTGTTAAATATAAAAAATTCGTTGGAGTACTTCAAAATTTTAACTCTCTAAATTTATATACGTTCTCCAAATGATAGAATATGCTCTTTAAAAATATGGAGTCTCTTGGAGATGCTCTAAGCACGTGAAAAGCTTGACACGTAATATTAAATTCGTGATTGACCTAAAAAATTTTAAAGCATACTCCTCAACTTAAGAGGATGATTCTTGTTTAACCCGATTTCCTGAATATTTATCAATTGCATTCAAGCCCATGAAGATTTTAAAAAATAGGAATTGCACCTGGGCGTGGATTTTGTAGTTCTCAATAATTGATTAATTTCACATTCACAGGATCAAGAATTCTTTACACAACTGATACATAGATGCTAAAGTCAATCTAAACAAACAAAGGAAGTCATTCCGCGGCATATTCACCGAAAAAGATTTAGCCCTTGTCTCGACGTGATGAAAACCAAAATTTGGACCGTTGGTCCGGCATTAAGATAATGTTTTATTAAAAATTGGTTGACAAATATTTAGACAAATGTAGTAACATTTACTTCATACTTCTCAATTTTGCCCTCACTATTGCACACCTCATATAGGACAAATGGAACAATTCAAATCATATTCATGAGGGTTTAAGCGGTCAATGCGCAATGTTTATATGAATCAAAGACAGTACACGCAAGCTATGTGGGCCAGGTTGAAACTTGTCTGTGTAAAAACTGTACCCAACGGTTCAAATTTTGGTTTTAATCATGTCCAGACATGTTCATAACTTCTTTGTGTTACTCAGTACTGTAAAATATTATCTCATGAAACAAGTCACCGAGGCATATAGATGTCAGTCATCACAACTTAGTAGGTCAAGCGTTACAGTTCTTTATTATACATAAAAGGAATCAAATCTTGATTTCAGGTACAGATGGCTCTTATGCTGCTTCGGCTAGACGAGACACGAGCAAAAGCCATCTTCACGGCTGGGATTGAACAGTATCATCCCCTTAGCTCGTGCCAGCCCATTTTTGCCTTGCCCTAACTGGAAAACTTCACATGGACTACTTTATGGCGATGAATGCTGTTGTCCATATGTTAGAGATTAGGCCAGGTCTGTCCCGAGCTCAATATCATTCAGTTTCATTGAAGAACGAGCATTGATTTATCAGAGGTATACCAGTCGGCTTGTTCAAGTAATCCCGTCCCAGAAATGAATAAACCAAGGATACCTTATCTCAGATTCAAGAACATGTAGCATCTTGTATACCTCGTCCATGAACGAGGATTGAAGTCTTCCGGCCACAAATGCTGTCACCTCGTTTCTTACTTCTATCCAACTACAACCCGGCATTTTCTTGACGCCTTGGTCTGCCATCACTCTCCTCACAATCTCTGCTTCTTTCCACTGCCCACTTGCACTATACAAGTTTGACAACACGACATAACTCATCTCATTGTAAGGTTTCAAATTCTGCAGCTGTTCCCCCAACTCTGTTCCTGTTATGTCGCCTTGAGTGGAATATGATCCAAGAAGAGCCTCGACTGAGCTGACCTCCACACTGTTTTTTCCTAGATACATATTTGCTAACTCTCTTGCTTCTTCCAACTTTCCACCTCGAGCTAACATATCTACTATACAAGCCACGTGGTCAGTTTCAGGATAGAGTTTGTACTTGGAGCTCATTGATTCAAAAAGAACAAGGCCTTTCTCTATAAGGCCTAAATGACTACAAGTCATCAACAGGCCTATGAAGGTGACTTTATCTGGTTTCATTCCATAAGCTACCATTTCTTCGAGAATCTGAAGAGCTTGGCTACAGTGTCCATGCAATCCCAATGCAAATAACTTCGTATTCCATGAGATCAAATCCTTCTCATAAACATCGCTAAAGGCCATGCACGAACCTTCTATGTCCCCACATTTAGCATACATGTTCACCAAGCCATTGCCAACATAAGCATAAGCGTAGAAACCGAATTGAATTGCGCAACAATGGACCATTCTACCGTGTCCCAACATTGCCATGTTAGAGCAAGCATGTAAAACGGCTCCAAATGTAAAATCATCAGGCAAAAGTCCGCCTCTCATCATATCAATGAAAAACATAATAGAATGTTCCGCATGTCCATGTCTTGCATATCCAGCGATCATAGATGTCCAAGAAACAAAATTCTTCTCAGGCGCTTGCTGAAAAGCAAGACACGCTTCGTCAATATTGCCTATCTTCATTTGAGCATCGATAATCACATTCCAAGACACCTGACTCAATATTTCAATGCTCTCGACTGCCTTCAAAACACCATTTTCATCTCCAAAGCTTGAGTAGAAACTAACAACTGAATTGCTAACCTCCACAGCGGAATTCCAGCCACTTCGAATAATGAAACCATGCACCATACAACCATAACAACATTCACTTGTTTCAGCACAAGCATTCATGAGGGCACTCAAAGTCCATTTGTCTGGGCTGCATAGATCCTCCAACATCTTCTTAAACAAATCCATACAAAATTCCATCCTGCCCATTTTTGAATAACCAGCAATCATAGTATTCCAGGCTATAACAACCCTTTTCGGCATAGCACACAAAATACTATTAGCAACATCAAAAACTCGAACATTTACGTAAGCAAACAATAAAGAGCACCATGAAACTTCATTCCTAAAACTCATCTCTTCGAACACTCTATTCGCATTCTCCACAGTTGAGCACTTCCCATACATATCAATAAGAGCGTTATTTATAGGCAACGATGAATTGTACCCCGAAACAGTGACGAGTGCATGGAGTTTTTGCCCAAACTGTAGATCCTTCCCCGCACACACACTCAATGCCGTAGCGAACGTGAAGTGATCGGGCTTGACATTGCTGATTCTCATGCATTGGAGCAACGATAGAGCGTCTTGGTGAAGGCCCAGATGGCAATATCCAGTGAGCATTGCGTTCCATGCAACTGTGTCCCTTTGAGGCATTTCATCGAACAACTGGCGTGCGCATGATATGCGCCCTGATTTCCCAAGAACTGCTATTCTGGTAGTCACTTGAATTAAATGTGAACGCATTGAGTTGAAATGGTAGAACTACAGCCAAAGAAACCCATCAATGTGTCAAACAGAGTATTAAATTAATGTTCTTGTTTCAAACATTGAAAATTAGAATAAATTCTGCTCCATCAATCCCAACTTGTAGTGCTGTATGATATGAAGCAACTGTCGTGCCATACTAACTCAAAGTATAAAAAGGTTTCAAAATAAGTTGCTTATAATTTGATTTACTTAGGTTTAGACCCAATTAATTTGATTACATATTTTATGGGCCACCATTTTTATTAATTTTCCAAACGCACATTTCATTAATTTTTATCAAAATATGCTAAAAAATTGATTTTTAATTAAACCAAAATATGACTTAATTACAAACAAACCTCGTAACAATTATATTTGGGTAGAATTCACCCTTAAAATCAATTTTGTATGGGAGTGCCAAATTGGCATTACAATTAGGATCATTGCGTTGGAAACCGACATCCACATTGGCCCTCCTCCTAGCTAGGTGACTTCACGGTCCTTTACTGGAAATAGCCTTTTCTAGATCGTCCAATCCGCAAGCAGGGGCGGACCCACATGGGGTCAAATGACCCCACAATTTTTTTTTTTTTGTTTTCAAGTTTTTTTTTTTTTTGTAACTGGCCCAAGATAAATTAGATAATGGCCCAACTTCCCAGCCCAACCGTCAAACCAAAACACTAGCCTAGGCCCAACACCGCATCCCCTTATTTCTAGCCCAATTCTTGAACCATTACCTTACCACACCACGACTTCACTCTCTTCTCTCCCTGCCATCTCCCGATTCGGCGATTTGAAGCTCGAAATCACCATTTTCTCGCGTTCAAGCTCGAACTCTGCCTCTCCAGCCGGCAGCCAGCCTCCGTTCGGTTGCAGCTCGGTGCTTGCCTGCCTGGGACTCCGCTTCAAGCTTCGGCATCCGCTCGCGAATTGCCTCTGTCTTTAAAGCTGTAAGTCGCCTT